ATTTAGTTACGAAGGAATATTTTTGTAACTTCTGTAAGTTATTCTTGTGGCTGTTAACGAAATCATTTATTCAGTTACTTTGCTTCTATCTATACTTCTTGTGAAGTTTTTTGTACCAGGAAAATATTTTTTGGCATGTGTGACAGGTTTGACAGCGCCTAAAGATGACATAAAATTGTTGAACTTAAGAAATTAGCGGCCTAGCTGGTGGTGCATTACCTCGAGGGTGATGCACCACCATTACACCACCACAACCATCAACATTACCACCAGTCTTGTTATCATTACCACCCCAACCACTGTTATTACTATCACCCCTATCACAATAACCCACAGCACCTCTTCAATCCTCACTATGATGAAATTAAGACACGTGTGCAACATCTGGGTATCTTTATTGTAGACGTTTCGCCATCCAGTGGCTTTATCAATACAAATTCTAGGACATAACTTGAAGACAGTCGAACTATATACAGAAGAATCTCCACGACTATGGTGCTCTTCGCACCTACTCCTAGGTTGAGGGACTGATTACCTCATCTTCTGTATACAGTCCTACTGTCTTCAAGTTATGTCCTAGAATTTGTATTGATAAAGCCACTGGATGGCGAAACGTCTACAATAAAGATACCCAGATGTTGCACATGTGTCTTAATTTCATCTTGTCGGTATTATATACCATTCTTGCACAATCCTCACTATCACCACCACCATCATCACTATCACCTCAGCCAACACAACAGTCAACACTAGTACCACCACCGCTATATCCCAGCAATTTCACAATCAACACTAAAACCACAATTAATGTATCACCCAGAAACCCACATCAACATCACCACCCATTTCCCCCTCCTCACCACCACAGTAATTAACACCAAATTGAAATTTCACATTATTGCAGCAGTACTGAGGTAGAGACATGGTTGCATGACGGGGGTTCAACAGTACTGAGGTAGAGACATGGTTGCATGACGGGGGTTCAACAGTACTGAGGTAGAGACATGGTTGCATGACGGGGGTTCAACAGTACTGAGGTAGAGACATGGTTGCATGACGGGGGTTCAACAGTACTGAGGTAGAGACATGGTTGCATGACGGGGGTTCAACAGTACTGAGGTAGAGACATGGTTGCATGACGGGGTTCAACAGTACTGAGGTAGAGACATGGTTGCATGACGGGGGTTCAACAGTACTGAGGTAGAGACATGGTTGCATGACGGGGGTTCAACAGTACTGAGGTAGAGGCATGGTTGCATGACGGGGGTTCAACAGTACTGAGGTAGAGGCATGGTTGCATGACGGGGGTTCAACAGTACTGAGGTAGAGGCATGGTTGCATGACGGGGTTCAACAGTACTGAGGTAAGGCATGGTTGCATGACGGGGGTTCAACAGTACTGAGGTAGAGGCATGGTTGCATGACGGGGTTTCAACAGTACTGAGGTAGAGGCATGGTTGCATGACGGGGTTCACATACATGAGGTAGAGGCATGGTTGCATGACGGGGGTTCAACAGTACTGAGGTAGAGGCATGGTTGCATGACGGGGGTTCAACAGTACTGAGGTAGAGGCATGGTTGCATGACGGGGTCAACAGTACTGAGGTAGAGGCATGGTTGCATGACGGGGGTTCAACAGTACTGAGATAGAGACATGGTTGCATGACGGGGTTCAACAGTACTGAGGTAGAGGCATGGTTACATGACGGGGTTCAACAGTACTGAGGTAGAGGCATGGTTGCATGACGGGGGTTCAACAGTACTGAGGTAGAGGCATGGTTGCATGACGGGGTTCAACAGTACTGAGGTAGAGGCATGGTTGCATGACGGGGGTTCAACAGTACTGAGGTAGAGCATGGTTGCATGACGGGGGTTCAACAGTACTGAGGTAGAGACATGGTTGCATGACGGGGGTTCAACAGTACCGAACCAGAGGCATGGTTGCATGACGGGGTTCAACAGTACCGAACAGAGGCATGGTTGCATGACGGGGGTTCAACAGTACCGAACCAGAGGCATGGTTGCATGACGGGGGTTCAACAGTACCGAACCAGAGGCATGGTTGCATGACGGGGGTTCAACAGTACCGAACCAGAGGCATGGTTGCATGACGGGGGTTCAACAGTACTGAGGTAGAGACATGGTTGCATGACGGGGGTTCAACAGTACCGAACCAGAGGCATGGTTGCATGACGGGGTTCAACAGTACTGAGGTAGAGGCATGGTTGCATGACGGGGGTTCAACAGTACCGAACCAGAGGCATGGTTGCATGACGGGGGTTCAACAGTACTGAGGTAGAGGCATGGTTGCATGACGGGGGTTCAACAGTACTGAGGTAGAGACATGGTTGCATGACGGGGGTTCAACAGTACTGAGGTAGAGACATGGTTGCATGACGGGGGTTCAACAGTACTGAGGTAGAGACATGGTTGCATGACGGGGGTTCAACAGTACTGAGGTAGAGGCATGGTTGCATGACGGGGGTTCAACAGTACTGAGGTAGAGACATGGTTGCATGACGGGGGTTCAACAGTACCGAACCAGAGGCATGGTTGCATGACGGGGGTTCAACAGTACCGAACCAGAGGCATGGTTGCATGACGGGGTTCAACAGTAACCGAACCAGAGGCATGGTTGCATGACGGGGGTTCAACAGTACCGAACCAGAGGCATGGTTGCATGACGGGGGTTCAACAGTACCGAACCAGAGGCATGGTTGCATGACGGGGGTTCAACAGTACTGAGGTAGAGACATGGTTGCATGACGGGGGTTCAACAGTACCGAACCAGAGGCATGGTTGCATGACGGGGGTTCAACAGTACTGAGGTAGAGGCATGGTTGCATGACGGGGGTTCAACAGTACCGAACCAGAGGCATGGTTGCATGACGGGGGTTCAACAGTACTGAGGTAGAGGCATGGTTGCATGACGGGGGTTCAACAGTACCAAACCAGAGGCATGGTAGCATGACGGGGGTTCAACAGTACCAAACCAGAGGCATGGTTGCATGACGGGGGTTCAACAGTACCGAACCAGAGGCATGGTTGCATGACGGGTTTAACAACAACTATGCCTCTAGCACGGTGCTGTTGAACCCCGTCATGCAACCATGCCTCTGGTTCGGTACTGTTGAAGCCCCGTTATGTTTTTTGTTGTAATATTTAGGCTATAGGTTATTATTATTTTATACTCTTAAGTTGGCCCTGGCATTGGGCATGGCCCTGGTATTTATGCATGAGTTGTGGCATATGCCTTCAGAGAGGGAGTCTACCTTGAGGGTGTTCTGTGGGCCAGCGCCCCCCGCGGCCCGGTCCATGATCTGGCCTCGCGGTGGATCATGGCCTGATCAACCAGGTTGTACATAGAGTAGATTACAATCTTGGGCTGTCAGTTAACAGTCTGAGAACAATAATACGAAAAAAACTTCGACTGAGGGAGACTGACACAGTCAGTTGTGACGTGTACAAAAATAAGTCAATTATATCTGCAGGCTGGAAGTCAGCAGAGGGAAGTGGCACAGAGACTAGCTGCCGTGGTTATGTGTAATTTACACATGCTCTGACTTTAATTAACCGGTAGTAGTGTGTTGCTTTGTAATATGTGAAGTGTGTTGAAGTCAGGTTTTGTGTTGTATATATATTATGCATAATACACGTACATATTTCTAAAGAGTTTCTGGCCTTCCTGTTCATCAGAGACATTTATTGTAGAAGTTTAAGAGGGCTTATGGTGGCTTATTTTTAAATAACTTTATGTATTCCCCTAGACGTGTCTTTAAACCTCCATGTAACTTTGTAACAATCGGTATATTTAGAGGCATGTATCAGCATATACCGAAGTATGTATATATCAGTATATACATAAGTACGTTTATGTCAGTATATACAAAGGTATGTTTATCAGTATATACAGAGATATGTATGTCAGTATTTGCAGAGATATGTATGTATCAGTATATACAGAGGTATGAATGTCAGTATATATATAATATATATAACAGTATATACACAGAGGTATGTAACTCAATATATATACGTAGAGGTATATGTTAGGATATACAGAGGTATATATGTCTGTATGTACACCGAGGGGTGTATAATAATCTTTTTCTGCAAGTACATCATACAACTTGTGCAAGAAAGGTATAAAATACCGACAATATGAAAATTAAGACACATGTGCAACATCTGGGTATCTTTATTGTAGACGTTTCGCCATCCAGTGGCTTTATCAATACAGATTCTAGGACATAATAGGAAGACAGTAGAACTATATACAAAAGATGAGGTAATCAGTCCCTCGGCCTTGGAGTTAGTGGGGACTGATTACCTCATCTTTTGTATATAGTTCTACTGTCTTCCTATTATGTCCTAGAATCTGTATTGATAAAGCCACTGGATGGCGAAACGTCTACAATAAAGATATCCAGATGTTGCACATGTGTCTTAACTTTCATCATACAACTTATACAGACCATAGCTGACATCGGTGACATACTATATAGAAAGCACCTTGTTATGCAGAGCATTTTGGGCAAATTAGGTGGTTAATTTTGTCCCCAGGATGCGACCCACACCATTCAATTAACACCCAGGTACCTATTTTACTGATAGATGAACATGAACAGCATATGTCCTAAGGAAAGACTTAAGGATCGAACCACGGACCTCAGTGTGTGACCTGAGTTCGCTACTAACCGAGCTACGGGACACCTGAATATGTCCGTCTATATGGATTGAGAATTTATTTTAATCTATTTTTGGTATTAGTCTTTGTGATAAATGATTTTGAAAACTGACAAGTTGAAGATTGAGACACTTAAGCAACATATGGGATTCTTTATTAGGGAATAAAGATACACATGTTGCATAAGTGTCTCAATATTAAAGTCTTCTTGGTTGGTGGTGAATAAGTGGTATGCAGCCTTAATGACCCTTGTGTAGTCCATAAGCTTTAAACCCAGTAAACAGGAATACTTATGCTTGTCTTTTGTATTTCAGAAGGATCAGGATGGCAGACGAAGGATTGAGTAAGTACGTGGACTTCAGGAGTCTGCCTGATCCCGAAGACAGGTTCCACCTTCACAGTCTCATCGCTACCGGTACCTATGGCGAGATTTACGAGGCTACAGATGCCCAGAATGGTGAGCAACCAGGCTGTTGGTTTATTCGTCAGGAAGGTCACCCTACATGGAGTTGAATATATAAGTTTTATAACGATTCACTTCCGTGTATTCAGCGTCTTTTAGCTAGATCTTATTTTTCTTTTAATTTTAAATATAAATGATTATCACAAAGGCTCCCAATCGAAATAAGTCACTGACTTTTTTTTAGTTTATCCTGGGTTCTCTACACATGCTGCTATGTATGATAATTCAGTGTAACTATGTATACCTGAATAAACTTTAGACTTATGTTCATGACAATATAGTGATGGGCCAAAATTTGTAATACTCAAATATCAGTGTGTTTGCTAGACCCGAATGAAAATAAAATCACTTTGTGTGATTTTTTATTATCCTAGGTAATCTACACGTGTACATATATATGATAATTTGTGTAACTGTATTTGTGTACCAGTATCTAAATAAAGGTGTTTGCATCTGGGTACATTTTATACTAGTTACTCCTAGAAAAAGTTCGTTTTCTTTGATGTTATTTTCATGCTTTATTTAATGACTAACTTATCTAAAATATTCTTGTATGCCTGTCCTTCCAAAGTAAGTAAAGCTAAGATAATAAGTAATTTATTAAGGAATAGGTACACATAAGTGCAAATATCATACATAGTTTAACATGTGTAAATTATCTAGGATAACCCCAAAAAAAGTTAGTGACTTATTTTCATGGGTCCCTTTGAGATAGCTTATGGTAACATTGCTTACTTATTAATCTGTCAGCCTTGATAGACTTCTGTCAAGACTGATGAACTTAACATATCTCCAGGCTGAGAGACTGATTACCCCAAATTTCCATACAATGTTCCCCGTTCTTTGTATCGGACTGATGAAACCACTGGCTGTCGAAACATTTTCACAATATACATAAGTGTCTCATTCATCAATTTGTCTGTTTTCTAAAAAAAAATACACTTAAATTCATACCACCTGTATTATGTTACCTGTAGCAGCTTCTGGGGGTCAGCGCCCCCCACGGCCCGGTCCCAGACCAGGCAAGATAGATTTTATTTCTTTGCAGTTACAATGTATAATTGCATTTTTGAAAAGTACCAAGAAAGCCACTAGCATGGTGGGGCATTTCGGGCTGTCAGTACCTAGAAACCTAAAATCTAACGTATGTACCACAGCCCGGCTAATCAGAAATGGCGAAGGGTTTGCTGGTAATTCTCCATACACATTGAGGGAGGTTGTTGAAGAGTCATGGTTCCTTTACACTGAGTTTTTTCCCTGTAGAGAACCAGGCAACTCTAGCAGTATTATTAGTCAGTAAATTGCCAGGTGCATCAGACCATTCATTACCAGGGACTTATTCACGTCGATATTCACTGTAAATATTGTAATTCACATTGTAATTCATGGATAATATAGATTTATTAGAAATTCAAAATATTTATATATATATGTCAGAGTAAAAAGTCGCTAAACAGTGGCTTGAAAAACGTACAACTGTATTTAAGAGACGAAACTTGTGATGACGTTTCGGTCTATTCTGGACCATTCTCAGTTTATTCTTCACAATGATGAATAAACTGAAAAGTCATCGTAAGAGTCCTCTACGTGCGTGGTTTTTTTTTTTTTTTTTTTTTTTTTTTTAATTCTTTAGCTCCTTGATGTATTTTTCAATGATATTTTTTTGCCTTATGTTAGATGACCAGATGGTGGCCATCAAAATTATTGAGAACATCAAGGAGAACTTGGAGGAGATCGAGGAAGAACATCGTGTTCTCTCTGAGTTGAGTCAGCATGATAACTTCCCTCAGTTCTTCGGCACCTTCCTTAAGAGGTCTGCGAACCTGGAAGACCACCAGCTGTGGTTTGTTATGGAGGTGAGCAGTTGTGGTAGTTAGGGTGGAAATGTAAGTGGTATACCTGGAGGATTCCTGGAGAGGGTTTTGGGGGTCAGTGCCTCCTTAGCCATGCCTGTGGTGGTGCAATTGAAATCTGCATGTACACATGCATTTAAAACACGCGTTTGCATGCATACAGTCACACACCATACCTAGATTCTAGAGAAAATTTGATAGGGGTGACCCTCCCCCTTTTCCCCATACACAATTAGGTAAACGCACACAGCACACGCAACACACACACAGGCCAAGAGCTATGAATCGATCCCTGCAACCACAACTAGGTGAGTACACAGTATACTGTACTGACCAAGGATATGCAACAACTGCAGACTGTTTATGTATTCATAACTGTACTGAATAAACGTGTGGTGTATTGGTGTGTGTTTACAAGACTTGTAGGTATAGTGTGTGCGTGTGGAGTGTGCGTGTTAGTACCCACCATCCCTAGTAAACAATCTATAACTGATAAATAATTACTTTGTGATGAAGCACAGGAAGGAGAAAGCTGCATATTTTGGATTCAATCAAAGGTCCTCTTCAGTAGATAAAGAGAGAGTTTGACCGAAATATACAGCCTTATCTTACCTCAGTTTGACGTTTCTGTCAAAGTTGTTACTCACTTTGCATGGTCAGTTTCGTGACACTTTAATTCGCTCATAATTTGCAGCATCAGTAGCTTTACCGTATTAAAATTTCTTACCGTAATCAAATAAACATTACCAAATAAGAGCAGCCAAAAACTACAAATATTCCGGGTAAAGTGACTCGTGCTGTACCTATGTAATAATTAGAAAGCAGAAATATCTTTGCATTACAGGACCACGGTTCGAGTCCCCGTCCATTCTTCTGTTTAGTCATAGACAATGATCCTGAATGTTACAATGTATAATGTTCAATTTGTGCCGCAGCTGATGACGCAGGGATCAGTGTCTGAGCTGGCTCGTGCCTACAAGCTGAGAGACGAGAGGATGCCAGAGAAACTCATCGCTTATATTCTCAAGGAGATCATTAAGGTAAGTCCCTCTGTCTTGCTACGTTGGGATGTGAAGGACAGATAGTAAGGCTGCTTGTTGGTTATTAAGGCCCCAGGTCGTTTGTGCACTAACATCAAGAATACCATAATCTCTAAAATAGGAATTAAGTTTTTAGTATATGTATACACAGACACACACCTCTGTGTATGTATACAGACACATACCTCTCCATGTATATACACTCGAGAGATACGCAACTCTTCATGTATATACATTGAAGTGGGAAGTACAGTGTTTGCGCTCTGAAGGAAGGGTGCAGATATGTTGCAGTTCTTCAACTGTAGTGTTGGCACGATTCTGGCAAGACAGTGTTGGAATGAGTGATGATGAAAGTGTTTCTTCTTTTTCGAGTCACCCTGCCTCGGTGGGAAACAACCGATGTATAAAAAAAAATAAAAATATGAGAGATGTACACCTTTATAATCCGAAATAAATTTTTTCTTAGCACAGTCTTACGCTTAGTAATGATAATTTAATAATCTTCAACAGGCAGTGCAGCACCTGCACCAGGCACACGTGATGCATCGTGATGTGAAAGGAATGAACGTACTCATCACTGAAGACGGCAGGATCAAACTCGTCGATTTTGGTGAGTTATCATGCCTTCCTGATCGTCTGTAGTGAGTTATCCCGCCTTTCTGGTCGACTGAGGTGAGTCATCCTGATTTCCTGATCGTCTGTGACGAGTTATCCCATCGTCTGAAGTGAGTTATCCCATCGTCTGAAGTGAGTTATCCCATCGTCTGAAGTGAGTTATCCCATCGTCTGAAGTGAGTTATCCCATCGTCTGAAGTGAGTTATCCCATCGTCTGAAGTGAGTTATCCCATTATTATGATTAATTGTGGTGTTTTTTTCTTTTACCATCAAATGAGGTTGTTTCCCTGAGACCCACCTTCCTAGCTAATGTGCCCTGGGACCCACCTTCCTAGCTAATGTGCCCTGGGACCCACCTTCCTAGCTAATGTGCCCTGGGACCCACCTTCCTAGCTAATGTGCCCTGGGACCCACCTTCCTAGCTAATGTGCCCTGGGACCCACCTTCCTAGCTAATGTGCCCTGGGACCCACCTTCCTAGCTAATGTGCCCTGGGACCCACCTTCCTAGCTAATGTGCCCTGGGACCCACCTTCTAGCTAATGTGCCCTGGGACCACCTTCCTAGCTAATGTGCCCTGGGACCCACCTTCCTAGCTAATGTGCCCTGGGACCCACTTCTAGCTAATGTTGCCCTGGGAACCCACCTTCTACTATTGCCCTGGGACCGCACTTCCTGCTAATGTGCCTGTACCACTTTGCATGGTCAGTTTCGTGACACTTTAATTCTGGCCCTTCATAATTGCGCTCGTAGCCCCTTTACCGTATTAAATTTCTGACCGACTTCAATAAAGCATGACCAAACCTAGAGAGTCATGGCCAAAACTACTAACTAATTCCCGGGTTAGTAATGTGCACTGTGTGACCCTTTAATAATTGACCTGGGAACACTTCCTAGCATTCCTAGGACCACGTTCAGCTAGTCCCCGACCATCTCTGTTTAGTCAATTGCCACTGGGACTCCATGTTACAATGTCTACATGTTCAATTGTGCCGCACTGAGGACGCAGGCATGTCTAGCTAGGCCTGGCTTACAAGCTAGAGACGAATGGATGCCCGGAAACTCATCCGCTATATTCTCAAGGAATCATTAGGTAAGTCCCTCTGTCTGCTAGTCCTGGGATGAGGACAATAGTAAGGCCTGCTTTGGCCTTATTAAGGCCCTCAGGTACGTTCTTGACTAACATCAAGAATACCATAATCTTCTAAATATGGACCATTACACTTTCCAGTATATGTATACACAGACACACCACCTCCTGTAATGTATCCCAGACCAACCTTCCTGTAATATCACTCGAGAGACCACACTCTCATGTATACATTGGTGGGAAGTTACAGGTAATTGCGCTCTGAGGACCGGCACTATGCTGCATTCTCAAGTAGTGCTGGCACGCATTCTGCTAAGACAGTGTGGAACTGTATGATGAATGTGTTCCCTTCTTTTGCGAGTCCCCTGCCTCGTGCCTGGGAACAACCTGTTACAAAAAATAAAAATTGAGCATGTACACCTTATATCCGATATAAATTTTTTTCCTTAGACCCAGTCCTTACCTAGTAATGCTGAATTCTAATAATCCTTCCACAGCATCAGCTAACTGCACCAGGCCACACTTGCTGCAATCTGCTGATAGCTAATGATGCCTGACTCACTCATAGAGATGGCAGGACCACCTTCCGTGATATTGGTGAGCTTGACCATGCCTTCCTGATCGTCTATGTGCTGAGTTACCCCCTTTCTGTGTCGACCTGGGTGATCATCCGGTTTCCTAGTATCGTGCTGGGACAGTATCCCATGTCCTGAAGGAGTTATACCACTTCTAGTTAATGTGTGTTTTTTTCTTTTACCATCAAATGAGGTTGTTTCCCTGAGACCCACCTTTCTAGCTAATGTGCCCTGGGACCCACCTTCCTAGCTAATGTGCCCTGGGACCCACCTTCCTAGCTAATGTCTCTGGGACCCACCTTCCTAGCTAATGTGCCCTCGGACCCACCTTCCTAGCTAAATGTGCCCTGGGACCCACCTTCCTAGCTAATGTGCCTGGGACCCACCTTCCTAGCTAATGTGCCCTGGGACCCACCTTCCTAGCTAACATGCCCTGGGACCCACCTTCCTAGCTAATGTGCCCTGGGACCCACCTTCCTAGCTAATGTGCCCTGGGACCCACCTTCCTAGCTAATGTCCCTGGGACCCACCTTCCTAGCTAATGTCCCTGGGACCCACCTTCCTAGCTAATGTGCCCTGGGACCCACCTTCCTAGCTAATGTACCCTGGGACCCACCTTCCTAGCTAATGTGCCCTGGGACCCACCTTCCTAGCTAATGTACCCTGGGACCCACCTTCCTAGCTAATGTGCTCTGGGACCCACCTTCCTAGCTAATGTGCCCTGGGACCCACCTTCCTAGCTAATGTGCCCTGGGACCCACCTTCCTAGCTAATGTGCCCTGGGACCCACCTTCCTAGCTAATGTGCCCTGGGACCCACCTTCCTAGCTAATGTGCCCTGGGACCCACCTTCCTAGCTAATGTGCCCTGGGACCCACCTTTCTAGCTAATGTGCCCTGAGACCCACCTTCCTAGCTAATGTGCCCTGGGACCCACCTTCCTAGCTAATGTACCCTGGGACCCACCTTCCTAGCTAATGTACCCTGGGACCCACCTTCCTAGCTAATGTGCCCTGGGACCCACCTTCCTAGCTAATGTGCCCTGGGACCCACCTTCCTAGTAAATGGCCCTGGGACCCACCTTCCTAGCTAACGTGCCCTGGGACCCACCTTCCTAGCTAATGTGCCCTGGGACCCACCTTCCTAGCTAATGTGCCCTGGGACCCACCTTCCTAGCTAACATGCCCTGGGACCCACCTTCCTAGCTAATGTGCCCTGGGACCCACCTTCCTAGCTAACATGCCCTGGGACCCACCTTCCTAGCTAATGTGCCCTGGGACCCACCTTCCTAGCTAATGCGCCCTCGGACCCACCTTCCTAGCTAACGTGCCCAGGGACCCACCTTCCTAGCTAACGTGCCCAGGGACCCACCTTCCTAGCTAACGTCCCCTGGGACCCACCTTCCTAGCTAATGTGCCCTCGGACCCACCTTCCTAGCTAACAGTGCCCTGGGACCCACCTTCCTAGCTAACTGCCCTGGGACCCACCTTCCTAGCTAATCGTGCCCAGGGACCCACCTTCCTAGCTAACGTGCCCAGGGACCCACCTTCCTAGCTAACGTGCCCTGGGACCCACCTTCCTAGCTAATGTGCCCTGGGACCCACCTTCCTAGCTAATGTGCCCTGGGACCCACCTTCCTAGCTAACAGTGCCCGGGACCCACCTTCCTAGCTAACGTGCCCAGGGACCCACCTTCCTAGCTAACTTGCCCTGGACCCACCTTCCTAGCTAATGTGCCCTGGGACCCAACCTTCCTAGCTAATGTGCCCTGGACCCACCTTCCTAGCTAACTGCCCTGGGACCCACCTTCCTAGCTAACGTGCCCTGGGACCCACCTTCCTAGCTAAGTGCCCTGGGACCCACCTTCCTAGCTAAGTGCCCTTGGGACCCACCTTCCTAGCTACATGGCCCTGGGACCCACCTTCCTAGCTAACATGCCCTGGGACCCACCTTCCTAGTAACTGCCCTGGGACCCACCTTCCTAGCTAACGTGCCCTGGGACCCACCTTCCTAGCTAAGTGCCCTGGACCCACCTTCCTAGCTAATGTGCCCTGGGACCCACCTTCCTAGCTAACTGCCCTGGGACCCACCTTCCTAGCTAAGTGCCCTGGGACCCACCTTCCTAGCTAACGTGCCCTGGGACCCACCTTCCTAGCTAACAGTGCCCTGGGACCCACCTTCCTAGCTAACGTGCCCTGGGACCCACCTTCCTAGCTAATGTGCCCTGGGACCCACCTTCCTAGCTAACGTGCCCTGGGACCCACCTTCCTAGCTAACGTGCCCTGGGACCCACCTTCCTAGCTAATGTGCCCTGGGACACCCTACTTTCTGCACTCTAGCTAACATGCCCTGGGACCCACCTTCCTAGCTAATGTGCTCTGGGAACCTCCTACTTCCTGATTCTAGTAACATGCCCTGGGACCCACCTTCCTAGCTAATGTGCCCTGGGACCCTACCTTCCTAGCTAACATGCCCTGGGACCCACCTTCCTAGCTAACGTGCCCTGGGACCCACCTTCCTAGCTAATGTGCCCTGGGACCCACCTTCCTAGCTAATGTGCCCTGGGACCCACCTTCCTAGCTAATGTGCCCTGGGACCCACCTTCCTAGCTAACATGCCCTGGGACCCACCTTCCTAGCTAACATGCCCTGGGACCCACCTTCCTAGCTAACGTGCCCTGGGACCCTACTTCCTAGCTAACATGCCCTGGGACCCACCTTCCTAGCTAATGTGCTCTGGGACCCTACTTCCTAGCTAACATGCCCTGGGACCCACCTTCCCAGCTAACGTGCCCTGGGACCCACCTTCCTAGCTAACGTGCCCTGGGACCCACCTTCCTAGCTAATGTGCCCTGGGACCCACCTTCCTAGCTAACATGCCCTGGGACCCACCTTCCTAGCTAACGTGCCCTGGGACCCACCTTCCTAGCTAACGTGCCCTGGGACCCACCTTCCTAGCTAACATGCCCTGGGACCCACCTTCCTAGCTAACGTGCCCTGGACCCACCTTCCTAGCTAACATGCCCTGGGACCCACCTTCCTAGCTAACGTGCCCTGGGACCCACTTCCTAGCTAACGTGCCCTGGGACCATATGCAATTACACTACTCCAGCTTGTACAGAGTCATAACATATGTGAATGAAGGGGCAAAACTTGCAGTACAAATTTGATTGGGACCACGTTTCGCTCTTTGTAGAGCTCTATTAAAATTATGTTGTGATAAAGATAGAGGAGAAACGTGCTCATAAGTGCTTTACCCGCAACTGTTTTGGTTTCATTACGTGCAGATTACAACTTTCTGTGTTTCAGGCCAGTGTGGTCACCTAGACTCCACGAGAGGCAGACGCAATACTGCAATGGGCACACCGTACTGGATGGCCCCGGAGGTGATAGAGTGTGAGCAGAAGGCTGATCACGACTATGACAATCGCTGTGACGTCTGGGCCCTCGGTGAGTGATCAGAGAGTGATCTGAGAGTGGTAAGCAACCCAGGACATACTCGACGAGTACTAGAGCACTGACTCGGTGAGTGAGAGGGCTGGTCAGGTTAGATACTAGCACACTGCCTCAGCAAGTGAGAGGGCTGGTCAAGAGGTTAGGTACTAGTGCACTGCCTCAGTGAGTCAGTGAGTAAGAGGGCTGGTCAGGAGGTTAGGTACTAGTTCACTGCCTCAGTGAGTGAAAGGGCTGGTCAGGAGGTTAAGTACATGATCACTGCATCAGTGACTAGAGGGGACTATTGTGTTTAGTAGCGTAGGTGACATGGTATCCTATATTTTTTAGGTAAATAGCTGTACATTACTTCTAGGTAACTCGTAGTACCCACGTTTGCTTATAAAACTTGCATTGTTATATGCGATAGCTGTCATTGTTGTACAAAAGATCATTACCTATACCTGGAGGGGAGTTTCGGGGGTCAACGCCCCTGCATCCCAGTTCGTGACCAGCTATCTCCCGTCGGCTGTAGGCCGACCCAAAAAGAAAACTCCTTCACCATCATTCTTACAATCGCTCTCTTGCCAGAAGTGTGCAAATATCACTGGTCAGATCAGTGGCGGACCTACATTTTTGGGGCCCTAAAGTTTGAACCGTTATGGGGGCCCCTTCGCAACCCCTTCTGAACAATAGATCCAAAAATTTTAAGCAATGTGGATTAAAGTGGCTTCTGGGGCCCCTCAGGGATTACAGGCCAAGAAGCTTAAGCTTCATTAGTCTCACAGTAGATTCGCCCCTGGGTCAGAGAGAGCTTTCAAACCTGATAAAACTCTATGCATTACCTCAAGAAGAAATGATAAAGCTTTTGCCTTTATGGTTAGTTCAGCAGATCATTCTCTTAATCAGTGTCAAATATCACTGTGATTAAGAACGTCAAATGTGTGACTGACACCGGAATGAAATTGTCATTTATCTGACTATTATGCCAACAGATATCGCAGGTCATAAATAGCAATCAGGTATCGCTGGTTATATATATCAGGTACGACAGGTAATATGTAACACCCAGGTATCACCGGTTATCTGCAACACTCAGGTATCACTGCCATTGAGTTGGCCGATGGAGAGCCGCCCTACTCAGACATCCACCCAGTTCGAGCACTCTTCCTGATAGTGACCAACCCACCACCCACCCTCAAGATAGTCTCCCACTGGTCGCAAGACTTCGCTGATTTCATCTCTGAGTGAGTAACTTTGGACGTATTGTTCCCTGTACTTACATATTTATAGTTATGGGAGTAGAGTTAACCTGATGGTGTGCAGCTTATTCTTTTCTATAGGTATTAAATTTACAGAGGTCACGTATATTAGGCATCTTGTATTTTCTATTTCATACATCTTGAATGTATATATTGTATTTCCATGTATTTTGAGCCTTATTATCTTTATTGGTTATCATTAATACATGTTTTATCTTCTCATTACGGCAGTATCTCGTTTCATTGTTTTAGGGAGGCCTATCATGAGAAATTCCAGCATCGTGTTTGTGTCCTCCCTCTGGTGGGTGTCCTGAGACTGCATGTTTCTCATTTTTGTCTTTTTTTTTTATCAGGGGAAGTGCTAGACTTGTAGTGGTCATGTAGCAGCTAAGGGCACGTGAGGCAGTCATGTTCTATTCAAGGGAAGGGAGGATAAACCCAGTTTTTTGGGTAAAAAGCCCTTTCTCCCCACTCTACCCTTTCCAGGGCATCAAAGCACCGTCCTTATTTTCAACTATTTTCTCTATATTGTTTTACTGGAAAAACAGATACAAATGCAGTACATATAAAGGATTACATTATACTGCATTTGTGTCTTTTTCAGTCGTGTCTAAATTTTGTACAATTTATCTCCAATGTGTTATTGTTGGCTATTTTTTTTTGTCATACTTTGATACAGTTAATTCACAAATTGGAAGCATGCTGTAGGCGAGTTTTTAGGTCTGTCTGTATTTTTCGGTATAGTGACGTTTTAGTCGTATTTGCTGCCATTAGTATAGTCCCCATGACCCATATCTTGGCAATATTGTAATCCCCATGACTAAGAGATGTTAATTATGGTACAGGTGTTTGGTGAAGACTCCTGACCACCGCCCCATCCTCCTGGAGGTCCAAGAACATCCATTCATCACTGCAGTGCCTGAGGACCCTACAGAGGTTGGTCGCTCCTGATGGTCTACCTCAAGGGTATTCCAAGGGTCAACGCCCCCGTGTCATGCTCGTTAGGAAATAATCCACAATATTGATGGGGATCTTAAGTGCAAGTGTGGGAACCCATAGCCTAAGAGCAATAAATAAAGATAATTCAAAGGGATAAATTCTGAAATTTCTCCCCGAGGATGTTTAAACTTTCCACTTCTACCACCCCAACAGTAACAGCCTGGTTGATCAGACCATGATCCACCACGAGGCCTGGTCTCAGACCGAACCGTGGGGGCGTTGTCCCCCGAGACTTTCTCTAGGTATATTCCAGGTACACCCCATCATTTATACATAAATATACATAAATATATGTATACTTTATTATATACTATCTGCTGCAAGTAGAATTCTTTAGTGTCCTCTTTCTTGGACGTCAATAAATACTGTCGACAGAACCGAAGAAATACTGGTATAGAACAGTATTTTATTGTGGTATTTCGCTTAGTGTTCAACTTGCAACTGTAAATACGACACGATATGCGGGCTGTGGCATTTTCTTGAGAAGTTTGCTCACCAGGAACATTATCAGTTAAGTCCCTTGTGGTCCAAACTAATTCATAAATAAAATCCCATAAATTGTATATTGTATAGAAATGCTATACAATACCGAAAAGATTAAAATACGACACGTGTGAAACATCTGGGTATCTTTATTGTAGACGTTTCGTCATCCAGTGGCTTTATCAGTACAAATTCAAGGACATAATTGGAAGACAGTAGAACTATATGCAAAAGATGAGGTAATCAGTCCTTCTACTGTCTTCCCATTATGTCCTAGAATCTGTATTGATAAAGCCACTGGATGGCGAAACGTCTACAATAAAGGTACCCAGATGTTGCACATGTGTCTAATTTTCAACCTGCGTATTATCTTATTTACATACTGTTACTAAGGCGAAATGTTACCACTGTTAACTTGGTCTGTACCTGTGTTCCTGCTGTTGCTGCTTCTCCTTTTCTTCCTCCTCCTTTTCTGCCTTTGTTTCTTACTGGGCAATAATTCTCAAACCTTTCCGTCCTTCCCTACCTGACCTTCGCAGCTAGACAGGCGGTTCATCTTGTGTACAGTTCCAGTAATACCATCATGACTTTTGTTCTGACTACTCAGTTATTCATGGGTGCAACAACAGACTGAAACAGAACCACTCTAATCGAGTGTGTCATATGTAATCTTCAGTCCAATTGCAGCTGTTAGATGACTAGGTTATCACTTGAGATATATGGGGTGGCAGCAGTAAATAGGGAGATCCTATGTTAGAGAGATTAACACATGGCATCATTACAGCTGAGGAATCTACTGCTGGAGGAGAGACAACGGCTCATAGACTCCGACTACGTACCTAAGAGACCCATAACATCCATCGTTCGCCAAGGATATCTCAAGGTATACTCTACTGGGATACCCTTCATGAAGTATTGCTAGTGACTGACTTCTAATCCATGGAGTTCATGCTACCCCCTTCTTTCTTCCATCAGCCTGATTGTCTTCCATTCCCCAGGAGCAGGATGACCCACTAAAATTTTAGCCTTATACCAAGATTATAATTATAATGATTTTCTAACGGAAGCTCAAGCCTCCACCACTGCTGATGCTGAAGGATAGTTACTGCTACCTGCAAGATACTCATATTTCTATCATTGAGAATTGATCTCCAGATGATTGTGGGCGGAAGCCACAAGAAAAGGTCTAAAGGCGAGGCTCCTTCGTGGAAATACCAGATGACTTTTCACTTATTGGGAAAGGCTTCCTCCAGTGGATGGAGGAAGCTACCAGTAGGTGACATCTTAACTAAAAATAATTCTGTATTCTGCCAATCTGTCTTAAGTTCAACTTGTGGGTATTGATGTGCCTTATAATTGTAATCCTTATGTTGAGTTACCCATGTAAGTGCAAAAATGCTAAAAGAATTATTCCTCTTGCTGTTAAATGTGTGTTTATACTGAGAAATATCTAATTCCCTCTGGAGCAAGACTAAAATATTCTTGGTTTCGGAAAGACTTTAAAGGAACAGTGGGTATTTTGGCTCTATTGTGAACTTTTATTTCACAATGCGCTAAACAATTATGGGTTAATGAGCGCCAGCACGAGTGGAGGCTCAATCTTTCATCTGCTAATCACGACTTGATCTTTGTTTAGTCAGGCTATTGTTGACTGGTTTATGTATGTTAACCAGAGTATTGGTGCCTCTTGTTGCAAGCTGCTGACCAATCTATTGTTGGGACAGCATTTTGATCTGTGCAGAGCTTTAGAAAGCTCCAGAAAATAAGCAAAAATGATGACACAAAAGCATATTCTGCAACGTGAGTCTTTCTTCACTATTGTTGGCATTAGACCATTTGGATCACCTTGTCTTATCTTACAGACCGAACGTCTCAGTAAACCCACGAAGATGATCACTGACGACCTTGCATCTCTTGATGTTTTCAACGACGAGGTAAGTTACCCCTCTTATCCTACCCCACTCACACCTTGTGGTTACTTGTCACCCCCCACTCACACCTTGTGGTTACTTGTCACCCTCCACTCACACCTTGTGGTTACTTGTGTCACCCTCCCCACTCACACCTTGTGGGTCCTCTCATCTCACATGTCATGCGGCACTCTTATCACACAACCATTGATTCTCTCATAGTATAGTCATATGCCTTATTCACTCCAAGATGCCAGTGTGAGTTCTAAGACCAGCTGATAATCCTCGACAGGAACAGCCAGCTGGTGTTTGTGTTGGATAACTGGTGCTGAAGACAATCTTCTACCCCATCCCCATAAGAGTAACCAGCTGGTACTTACTTCACAGGTGGTCCTCGACACGCTCTTCTGTCGCTGGAAAGATGGCAAGGTGTACACTTGGGTAGCTGACGTCCTTGTGGCAGTCAACCCCTTTGCTGATACTTGCAAATATGATGAAGAGGTAAGAGTATGAGCTTATTGTTAATTATTCCAGGAAAGCATCATCAGCTATGGCTGATGTAATTATTCGATTTTGTTCTTAGTGATAGTCAAAGCATAGTTGTTTTTTTATTTCAAATTGTAATTAATTTTTCATTCTTATTGCTAATCATGTTTTTCTAGACACGTACAACAAAAGGAGACTTTTATTAGTACATGACAGCTTACACAAGTCTATCAATTGCACAAATCCAAGTCGGAGCGAAACGCTGTCTTAAGCTTCGTTCTCGTATGTAAGGATTTGCGTGTTGTTCTAGTCACGTCATACTAATAAAGGTCTACTAATGCTGCATGTCTTTTCTTATTTACAATTTGTCTATTTTCCTAACTTAAACATGACGTCTTCCCATTCTCAGTAACCATAAGTTATCAAGCTGTGATGAGTCCGATCCCACCTCTTGTTTCTTAATTGATCCTTACACCTGTCTTCCCTCTCTTCCCCTCGCCTCGTCCACCACACTAAAGGTACAAGTAAAATACAAATCGAAGTCACGGAGCCATAACGACCCTCACGTGTTTGCCGTGGCTGACCGAGCCCACCAAGACATGATGCACCACAAGGAACATCAGACCATTGTCCTCACTGGAGAGTCAGGCAGTGGCAAGACCTACAACTTTCATCAACTCATTAATCAGTTCACATACATTAGTTATGTGAGTATTGAGGTGGTTAGTGGCTTGAGATTAGTTGATAAGACTGTCTTTACCCAATTCCTTGTTGTGAATGACCCTCAAGGGCGTAGCAATTTGTATAAGATAACTGTGTTAGTTGTGTTAATGTAATACATTATCTCCATGACTTTTGTTAAATCTAGATCTGAAACCTGATTGAATATAGCTCAGACTGATGGGTTTGAATGAAAAGCAAATAAGCCATCACATTAGAAATCAGAAACCTAGAGTAAACTTTTACTAGAAACCAGGCTTCGCTTGTAACTTGATAGTTGTCACTGAACCAAATGTTTTCAAGTCTTATTTTGTATGTATGACATTAATTTTTGTGGAGGATTGAATGGGAAAAATGGTATTCCTTAAAGGAATCCCGACCTTCCTGTGCAGAGGATCACAGATGCTGATGCTGTGGCCACAGTGAAGCTGCAATACTCTCAGCAGAGCTGCCTGTCTTTAGGTTCAAAAATTTTAGTCCATAGCTTCTTTCTATGATTGATTTCATGGGTGAGCAATATCACTATCAAAAACAAAAAAATAAATCTTCAGTTTTAACATAACCTTACTTTTCACTAGAGTTGCTGTTGACCAGGTATTGTAATGTCACTTCTCTGGGCATCTAATCACATAATGCTTGATCTTACAGAGTAACCCCAGTCTGATGGACAAACTCAAGAGGGTGTGCTCTGTGCTGGATGCCTTCGGCAATGCTGTTACTCAGCTTAATCCAAATTCCACCCGTCATCTTCGTTATTTTGACATCACTTTCTCCAAAACTGGCAAGATCTCGGGAGCTATCGTCTGGCTGCTCATGCTGGACAAGTTCCGGGTCACAGAACAACCAAGGTAAGTCGTTGTAGGTGAGGGTCACAGGCCGAAGTCAGGTGACGAGTGTGAGTCTCACACATAGGCTAGCATGTAATGTGTGAGGTTAGTGATCAGCACACTGGTTAAGGGAGGGCAGCTGGTAGGTGGATGGAGGACCGAGCCTTCACCAGTACTTCGTGACATAAAATACCACTTTTGTTGAGTTCTTGTCAGTTTAATATCAAGGGAAAAAAGTTTTAGATATCAGGACAGACGTGTTAGAGTGAAGGTTAATAATTTTCTGTGTTGTTGATATGACTAATGACACGGGCAGACAAACTGACCTCCTCTGCCCATTATATAACTGCTGTGAGAGCTTCTCGTCCTCTCATGATTTTATTTTTTTTAGTTTCATATTGAGAAAAAAATATCACAATACTCTACAGACATCAGTCACAAATCATATTTCTGAGAAAAAAATTTAGATAATGTTTCGACCCTTTTTGAATCAATTTGATAATTGTCAAGGATAGACCAAGACCTCTTCTAAAGATTACTCTCGAAACTCTGTATTAGTTGAAAATTAGACACAAGTGCAACATCTGAGTATCTTTATTATAGATGTTCTGCCATCCATTGGCTTTATCAATACAAATTCAAGAACATGATTGGAAGACAGTAAAACTATATATGTTCACAATGCCTTTTCACTGAATATTGATCCTAATTTTTTTCTGGCTAAATTAACTTTTACCTTGCTACCAGTTCCTCTCTGTTGCTATATTTTTGGTCAGATGTGAAGCCAGACTTCTCTCTGAAAGTTTATTTTATGATTTTAAGAATATTCCTTTCCCAAGATGACACGACTAATTGGCATGAACCTTAGTAACTGATAAAGGTCACAAGGTCATAAAGTTTTCTAATGAATGTCTTAGTGAATGATAAAAAGGCACAATAGTGACTGGAAGAGTATGTCATGTGTGCCAAAAAATGGTTGTTGCACATCATTACGCCATTAAAAGGCCATGTACCGAAATTTTTACTATTTAATTCATTAAAAAGGTAATGGGTATGTTGATGGGTGTTCCTTGTCAGCAGAGATGAAGGCAACTTCCACGTATTCTACTACACGTATGACGGCCTCTCACAGACAGAAAGACTGTCTCGCTATGGTCTCAAGGTGGGCAGGAAGTATCGCTACTTGGGCAAGCATCCTTATGACAACGAAGTCACCAATGCTCAAAAGTTCGCTAAAATCGAGGAAGATCTTCAGGTGTGTGATATTTTTTTCTCTTCTGACTGGTAGATGGAATCCAGTACCGCTTTGGTTAAAGCTGAGAAAATGTTTATGTAACTGAGAAATACAGGTAGGCAGTGTCTGTCTTGTGTTTAGTAGACGAAGGATTGAGCCTTACCACTCCTCATGCTTCTTGTTCTTTCCTATATACACACTTCAACTGCCAGAGATCATTTCCATCAAGTCATGAATGACAGATACGAGTTTAGAAGTTAACATAAATAGCAGTAATTTGGGTAAATGAGAATGGTTTGAAGTTCATACCTGGAGGAAGTCTACTTGGAGGGTGTTCCGGGGGTCAATGCCCCTGTGGCCCAGTCCATGACCATGGGGAAAAAATCATGTAAATGCTTCAAGAAAACGATCATGATGGATTCTGAAAGTATATCGTTAAAAGTTTATCGTTATGTTGTGAAATGCTAAATTGCTCCTGTGTATGTATAGGCATGCTGGACTGCTAGAGTGTACATGTACGAGCAAGCTGTGTGAAACGAACTTTAGAATAAGCTGAAGGTGCTTTTCAAAGCTTGATTCAATGAATTGGAGTTAATCACTCCTTTCTTGAATCACATCTGATTACCTTCCATTCTTCAGGGGTTTGGAGCAATATGACTTCCACAGGTCTTACGTGCCATAGGTCTTGCATTCCTCCATTATTAAAATAATATTTAGCTTACTAAAGTGTGTTTCTTGCAGGTGATTGGCTTCAGGGACCGTGAGATGCACACCATCTTGCTGGTGTTGTCTGCCATTCTCACCTTGGGCAATGTAGAGTTCAGCGGAGACCAGAAAGCAGTCATTGTTGACGAAGAGCCGGTCAGGGAAGGTAGGTGGCAGATGTTGTCAACTGCTCTTTGACACCAGTATAATGGGATGCTATACCGATAACATTTCGGCCATGCATTGGGTTTTATAAAGTCAGATTTGTCTGATTCGATAAATTCTACTGTATGGGCGAAACGTGGTCAATAAATGATTACATTATACAGCATTTCTCTTATCTCACACTTTCTTTCCACAGTGTGTAGACTCTTGGACATCGAAGAGAAGAAACTGTCTTGGGCGCTATGTAACTACTGTCGAGCGCAGACCGAGCAGAAATTGGAGTCAGCTAAGAAAACCCAGGAGGAGGCTGAGCTCAGCAGGGATGCTCTGGCTAGGACACTCTACACCCGCCTCGTCGACTTTGTCGTCAATTCCATTAACTCAAAGCTCTCAGTCACCAGATTCGTCTTGTGAGTGAACATGCTTGTTCTCTAACCTCCTCTCTCCTGGGTTACCCTCAGGGAATGGAGACTTGTGAGGAATGGGAGATACCCTGGCTCATGTGCCGTGATTCATGTAGGGTAAAAAGAGCATATATTATGTAAGTAGCACACGAAATGGATGTTAAGTTGTTTCGATACATCTTGAACCATTATCACGCCACGACTGAAAGATATAGGGGAGAAAGCCAGAAGTTTGATTACATAAAAATGGTAGGAGAGGCCCAGGTCTCCAATTTCTTTGTTAGTTTTGAATTTGTATTTCGAACTGCAATATTGTAACTTTCAATAACCATACACGATTTTCTGGTGCATAATAACAATAATGAATAAAATGTCTTCTTATATAACACTTAAATATAGGGGCAATGATGAAGATTTGTGTGGAACACTTCGGTATTTTTGTGAAGACACCCAAGTGTTATACATGTGTCTTACATGTATCATTCATTACTTGTCAGTGTTTTGTACCATCATTAGTAAGAGACACTGTAAATATGGTAACTTGTGCTCTGTACTACCAGCGGTGATCCCTACGCTATAGGAATACTGGACATGTTCGGATTTGAGGCGAACGACCACAACACCTTAGAGAACCTTCTTGTGAATGTGGCTAATGAACAAGTCCAATACTACTACAACCAATACGTGTTCAACTGGGAGATGGTGAGTATGTGCATTTTCCAGAGAGAGTTTAACTTCTCGATGTATTTACATCAAGAGTATATACACTGAGTTTACATTAATCTCTAATAGTTAAAGTATTTTTATTAGTGATTCAGTGAAATGAAGCCCAAAAATTAACCCAGAGGATCAGTAACTCAGGATAACCTTAATAAAGTCAGGATATCATTGAGAACTATCTGTCCTGCTTCCACTGGGGTCCTATAATCCTCTCCCCCAGGTACCTATTGACTGCTAGGTGAACAGGGTAAGCAGATGTAAGGAAACATGTCTAACATTTCCACCCGTACCGGGAGTCGAACCTTCTGTCCCTCAGTGTAAGAGTCGAAGCGGCTACCAACTGAACCACCAGAGAAAGTTGCTATGGTGGTTCAGTAATGCAATATGCATAACTTTGTATCATATCGTATTTCAAAATACCATCTTGGTAGCCTTCCAATACCTCTTCTTAAGTTAGAAGAAAGTTATTCTCAAATATCAGCAGAAGAGGTCAGAAATTGTTAGGTAATTGGCCATAATTTTCTGAAAGAATTTATTAAAATCCCCCCCTTTTCCAAAAAAAAGTGTGCAGTATTTATGATAAATTGACAGGTTAGATTTTTTTTAATCTGAACAATTCGAAATGTGTGTGTTTGTGTGTGTGTGCACGTGTATTTTTTTTTTTGTATGTTTGTGTTTTTCTTGTTTTGTGTTTTTTTTTTGCTGTGTGTTTTTGTGTTTGTATTTGTTACTTAAATGAGGTGACAGTATGATGTGTGTGTCCCCAGCAAGATTACAAGGAGGAGGGCATCTCCGTCAAGAACTTCACCTTCCCAGACAACCGTCACATTCTTGAGCTCTTCCTGGCCAAGAACTGTGGCATCTTCGCCATCCTGGAAGACGAGAGTCGCCAGAGCTGTGGCAGCGACGCTTCCTTGTCTTGTAAGTTGAAGTGGGAGTTAAAGGTCGAGGTGGAAGTTGTAACTTAGACTGTGTAAGATTGTACAACTCGTAGTATTGTAAAAGTGGCGTGTGCGTGTGTGTGTGTGTGTGTGTGTGTGTGTGTGTGTGTGTGTGTGTGTGTGTGTACTCACCTATTTGTGGTTGCAGGGGTCGAGTCACAGCTCCTGGCCCCGCCTCTTCGCTGATTGCTACTAGGTCCTCTCTCTCCCTGCCCCATGAGCTCTATCATACCTCGCCTTAAAACTATGTATGGTTCCTGCCTCCACCACATCACTTTCTAGGCTATTCCATGGCCTGACTACTCTATGACTGAAGAAATACTTCTAACATCCCTTTGATTCATCTGAGTCTTCAACTTCCAATTGTGACCTCTTGTGTCTGTGTCCCATCTCTGGAACATCCCGTCTTTGTCCACCTCGTCTATTCCGCGCAGTATTTTATATGTCGTTATCATGTCTCCCCTGACCCTCCTGGCCTCCAGTGTCGTCAGGTCGATTTCCCTACAACCTTTCTTCATAGGACAATCCCGTAGCTCTGGGACTAGTCTTGTTGCAAACCTTTGCACTTTCTCTAATTTCTTGACGTGCTTTGACTAGGTGTGGATTCCAAACTGGTGCTGCATACTCCAGTATGGCCTGACGTAGATGGTGTTACAGAGTCTTAAACGAATCCTTAGAGGTATCGGAACGCTATCCGTAGGTTTGCCAGGCGCCCGTATGCTGCAGCAGTTATCTGATTGATGTGCGCCTCAGGAGATATGCTCGGTGTTATACTCACCCCAGATCTTTTTCCTTGAGTGAGGTTTGCAGTCTTTGGCCATCTAAAAATATATTGGTGCTGCGGTCTTCTTTGCCCTTCCCCAATCTTCATGACTTTGCATTTGGCAGGGTTAAATTCAAGGAGCCAGTTGCTGGACCAGGCTTGTAGCCTGTCCAGATCTCTTTGTAGTCCTGCCTGATCCTCGTCCGATTCGATTCTTCTCATTAACTTCACATCGTCTGCAAACAAGGACACTTCTGAGTCCTATCCCTTCCGTTATGTCGTTCACGTATACCAAGAACAGCACAGGTCCTAGGACTGACCCTTGTGGAACCCCGCTTGTCACAGGCGCCCACTCTGACACCTCGTCGCGTACCATGACTCGTTGTTGCCTCCCTGTCAGATATTCTCTGATCCATTGCAGTGCCTTTCCTGTTATGTGTGCCTGGTCCTCTAGCTTTTGCAGTAACCTCTTGTGAGGAACTGTGTCGAAAGCCTTCTTGCAGTCCAAAAATACGCAGTCGATCCACCCCTCTCTCTCTTGTCTTACTTCTGTCACCTTGTCATAAAACTCTAGTAGGTTTGTGACACAGGATTTTCCTTCCCTGAAACCGTGCTGGTTGTCAATTATACACTTGTTTCTTTCCAGGTGCCCCACCACTCTCCTCCTGATGATTTTCTCCATGACCTTGCATACTATACACGTTAGTGATACAGGTCTGTAGTTTAGTGCCTCATGTCTGTCTCCCTTTTTAAAAATTGGGACTACATTTGCCATTTTCCATACCTCAGGGAGTTGCCCAGTTTCAAATGATGTGTTGAAGATCTTTGTTAATGGCTCACACAATATCTCTGCTCCCTCTTTAAGGACCCATGGAGAGATGTTGTCTGGTCCCACCGTCTTTGAGGTGTCAAGTTCGCATAGCAGCTTCTTCACCTCCTCCTTGGTTATATGTACCTCATCCAGCACTTGCTGGTGTGCCCCCCTGTTCTGATTTCTTGGAGTCCTACTGGTTTCCACTGTAAATAACCTCTTTAAATCTTGTGTTGAGCTCCTGACATACCTCTCGGTCGTTTCTTGTGAATTCCCCATCACCCTTCCTCAGTCTGATTACTGGTCCTTGACTGTTGTTTTCGTCCTGATGTGGCTGTACAACAGCTTCGGGTCAGTCTTTACTTTTGATGCTATGTCATTTTCATATTGTCTCTGAGCCTCCCTTCTTATCTGTGGATATTCGTTTCTGGCTCTTCGGCTGATTTCTTTATTTTCCTGAGTTCTCTGTCTTCTGTACCTTTTCCATTCTCTAGTACACCTAGTTTTTGCCTCCCTACACCTTTGGGTGAACCAAGGACTCGTTCTGTTCTTCCCATTATTTCTGTTTCCCTTGGAACAAACCTCTCCTCTGCCTCCTTGCATTTTGTTGCTACATAGTCCATCATTTCTTGTACTGGTTTTCCTGTCAGTTCCTTCTCCCACTGAATGTCTTGAAGGAAGTTCCTCATGCCTGAGTAGTTCCCCCTTTTGTAGTTTGGTTTTTCCCAGCCTATTCCTGCTACTCTCTCCACTTGGAGCTCAACTATGTAGTCGAAGCACAGAACCACATGATCACTAGCTCCCAGGGGCCTTTCATACATGATACCCTCGATGTCCGAACTACTCATGGTGAATACAAGGTCCAACCTTGCTGGTTCATCCTCTCCTCTCTCTCTGGTAGTGTCTCTAACATGTTGATGCATGTGTGTGTGTGTGTGTGTGTGTGTGTGTGTGTGTGTGTGTGCATTCCTGGAATGTAACTAGAGGATGTTACGGGGGTTAATGCACCCGCGAACACCCTCCAGGCATACTCCAGGTATACACACACACATACACACACTCGTGTGTGTGTGTGTGTACTCACCTAGTTGTACTCACCTAGTTGAGATTGCAGGGGTCGAGTTCAAGCTCCTGGCCCCGCCTCTTCACTGGTCGCTACTACGTCACTCTCCCTGAACCGTGTGCTTTATCATACCTCTGCTTAAAGCTATGTATGGATCCTGCCTCCATTACATCACTTCCCAAACTATTCCACTTCCTGACTACTCTGTGGCTGAAGAAATACTTCCTAACATCCCTGTGATTCATCTGTGTCTTTAGCTTCCAACTGTGTCCCCTTGTTGCTGTGTCCCATCTCTGGAACATTCTGTCTTTGTCCACCTTGTCAATTCCTCTCAGTATTTTGTATGTCGTTATTATGTCCCCCCTATCTCTCCTGTCCTCCAGTGTCGTCAGGTTGATTTCCCTTAGCCTCTCCTCTTAGCTCTGGGACTAGTCTTGTTGCAAACCTTTCACTTTCTCTAGTTTTTTTACGTGCTTGGCTAGGCGTGGGTTCCAAACTGGTGCCGCATACTCCATTATGGGCCTAACGTACACGGTGTACAGGGTCCTGAACGATTCCTTATTAAGATGTCGGAATGCTGTTCTGAGGTTAGCTAGGCGCCCATATGCTGCAGCAGTTATTTGGTTGATGTGCGCTTCAGGAGATGTGCCTGGTGTTATACTCACCCCAAGATCTTTTTCCTTGAGTGAGGTTTGTAGTCTCTGGCCCCCTAGACTGTACTCTGTCTGCGGTTTTCTTTGCCCTTCCCCAATCCTCATGACTTTGCACTTGGTGGGGTTGAACTCCAGGAGCCAATTGCTGGACCAGGTCTGCAGCCTGTCCAGATCCCTTTGTACTTCTGCCTGGTCTTCGATCGAATGAATTCTACTCATCAACTTCACGTCATCTGCAAACAGGGACACCTCGGAGTCTATTCCTTCCGTCATGTCGTTCACAAATACCAGAAACAGCACTGGTCCTAGGACTGACCCCTGTGGGACCCTGCTGGTCACAGGTGCCCACTCTGACACCTCGCCACGTACCATGACTCGCTGCTGTCTTCCTGGCAAGTATTCCCTGATCCATTGTAGTGCCTTCCCTGTCATCCCTGCTTGGTCCTCCATGTCATAGAACTCCAGTAGGTTTGTGTCACAGGATTTCCCGTCCCTGAAACCATGCTGGCTGCTGTTGATGAGATCATTCCTTTCTAGGTGTTCCACCACTCTTCTCCTGATAATCTTCTACATGACTTTGCATACTATACATGTCAGTGACACTGGTCTGTAGTTTAATGCTTCATGTCTGTCTCCTTTTTTAAAGATTGGGACTACATTTGCTGTCTTCCATGCCTCAGGCAATCTCCCTGTTTCGATAGATGTATTGAATATTGTTGTTAGGGGTACACATAGCGCCTCTGCTCTCTCTCTCAGGACCCATGGAGAAATGTTATCTGGCCCCATTGCCTTTGAGTTATCTAGCTCACTCAGAAGCCTCTTCACTTATTCTTCGGTTGTATGTACTGTGTCCAGCACTTGGTGGTGTGCCCCACCTCTCCTTTCTGGAGCCCCTTCTGTCTCCTCTGTGAACACTTCTTTAAATCTCTTGTTGAGTTCCTCACATACTTCACGGTCATTTCTTGTTGTCTCTCCTCCTTCCTTCCTTCCTTAGCCTGATTACCTGGTCCCTGACTGCTGTTTTCCTCCGGATGTGGCTGTATAAGAGCTTTGAGTCGGATTTGGCTTTCGCTGCTATGTCGTTTTCATATTGTCGTTGGGCCTTTCTTCTTATCTGTGCATATTCATTTCTGTGTGTGTGTGTGTGTGTGTGTGTGTGTGTGTGTACTCGCCTATATGTGAAAATTAGACACATGTGCGTGCATACCTGGTATTGTATACATTCATTTACACCTATATGTGGTTGCCGGGGGTCGAGTCATAGCTCCTGTGTGCGTTTGTGTTTGTGCGTGCGTGCTGTATATTGACATGCATGGAAAAATACCTTCCTTCACCTCCCTATTCATATCTGAATTTATGAAACAAAGATGACCTGGTGTCATTTGCCATCACAAATAGTCTGGTGGAGCAGCAATGCTCTAGTTTTTTGCTGTTATAATTATGACCATAATTTTTAAAGGGAAGGACCGGTAAGCCAGCAGAACACCTCGGTCAGATGACCAAAAGCTCCAATGGCAGGTCATCTGACTAAGACCTGTGCCAGGAAACACTTGTCCTGTGTCCTGACGAACCTTACCTTACCTAAGGTCCAGGGACTGGGCCCCTAAACTTGGAAAATTAAGCTTCGATAATAATGAACTGTTTACAAACTAATGATTCACGAAATCGTAATGACACGATTGCAAACAATCCATACAACGGGTGGGGTTAGAACCTGCGATCACAAACAATACATGGACACAGAGGGTATATAAAGGCTCTGAGTGAGGTGCAATACTAGTGAGGTACCATTTCGATGTTCACTAGTATTGGTAGTAGTAGTAGTAGTAGTAGTAGTAGTAGTAGTAGTAGTAGTAGTAACAAAAATAATACAATACTACTACTACTACTACTACCAATACTAGTGAACATCGAAATGGTACCTCACTAGTATTCACCTCACTCAGAGCCTTTATATACCCTCTGTGTCCATGTATTGTTTGTAATGGCTTGATAAAGCTCCTGAAGAGCGAAACGTTGCCACAATAAATGTCACATTAGTTGCACTTGTGTCCTTTTACTTTACATATTGTCGGTAATTCTACCAACTTTATTACAACCTGCGATCAGTCGCAAAACTCCAGACTCCGCTAACGCGTCGGTCTGGAGTTTTGTGACTCTGATCGCTGGTTCTAACCCTATCCGTGGTATGGTTTACAAACTAATAATCTTGTAACACTGGTAAGTTTTCTACAGACATGAATTCAGTTACAAAAAATATTACAATATAGCTCACATGCAGTAATGAAGCAATTATAACTGCTAGTGTTTAGCAAGGTATGACTGGATTCAGACAAGTTTAAGTCGTTACGAAGTTTTTTTGCAGCAGGCAACGCCAGGGTATGAAGATGTGGATAAATTTCCTTTGACATAAGAACATAAGAACATAAGAATGTAGGAACACTGCAGAAGGCCTACTGGCCCATACGAGGCAGGTCCTTATCAAATCCTTCATATTTCTTAATATAGGTTCTGTTGATGCATTTTAATGTGATGCAGATCTTGGATGATGATTGGAATTTGCATCCCTGGTTTTATATAAATTACAAATGGTTTCAAATTAATCTATTGTCACTAAATGTTTCTTTAAGATTCGTACAAATCAAACAGTTTACTACAACAACCTCAAATTCAAAAAAATAGAGGTCTGGGTCCATCCTGGAAGTCATTCAGTACTAACAATGCCACAAGGCAGACAAAGAGGCCATCCAATTCACATTTCCGAAAATACAGGTTAAATGTGAGAACCAAAGTCTCAAGAATCATTATTTTTCAAAGAATGGATAGTTAAAACACCATTTGTGTTTTACAGACAAACTAAAGCAGCGGGTGAACCAGAAGCAGCTACAGCAGGTAATCAGTGGGAGAGAGGTAACAAGGTTCGGCACATCTCACATCTTAAAGAAAAGGTGAGAGTAAAATATAATTATTACGGCTTCGTGTGATAGAATGGACCAATCTCCGTAAATTTTCACTAAAAAAGTTAAGTTTTGTCATTTTAATAAATTTCACACACTTTAATTAAAAATTTTTTTATTCTGTAGTCACGTTAAAAAAAACTTTATAACTACTATATAAGTATGCCTTTTTAAGTGGTGCTTTTTCGGAAATTTTGATATGATTGTGCTTTTGCATAGATGAAATTTACCAGTCTTCTGCTTGGGGGATAGTGCAATTTACCAAATTTAGTGCTTTTATAGATGATGTTAGCATTTGCTTTCCATGTGTATTTACCAAAATCTTGGCTTTTTACGATATTTTACCATCTTTGCTCTGGCGGATACAGAATTAGTGCACCAGTTTTTTTCTGGCAGAACTTGTAATAATTTGTGTTTGTACATTCATGCAGGTGCTTGGGTTCGGCATCGGTTCGATTTTCCAGTTGTGCTATGGCGTCAGGTTTTTCAGTTTCTTGGGCCTCATCATTAGCATCAAGAACCTCCATCGATGATGTTTAAACCTTGTGTTCTGGCTACAATATGTTAAAGTTTATTATCCAACAAGTTTCCTTAGAGTTTGATAATCATGTTAATCATAGTCATCTGATAATGTGATTTTACCAGTCTGTCTTTATAATCTTTCCAGATTGGACTTCTGACCGATACGGATGTTTGGCATTTGCTACTCCGGATATGATTTTAACCAAGCTGTGCCAAGCGGTAATGTGACCAGTGGCGAGATAGAGGTTTACCACTAGGTTCAGGACAACAGCATGTTAACCCAGTCACTTTCAAACGACATATACCATCTGGGTTTTGGTATACAATTTACCATTTTATTAACCGGTGAGCTGTAACAGTTTTGGGTGCTTAATGGAGGATCGAATTACCCAGTATTTTAATCCAAACGAATTTTAAGTCTTGTGCAGCTCCAGTATACGATGATTTACCGTTTTTCTTTAAATGATGTTTCCAGTTTGTGTTTATACATCGAGTCTTGTGGTTCTGCGGATAAGATGCATATTTACCATTGTGCTTTATGTCTTTCAGCCCTATGTGTCTGCCAGGATACGATGCATGTTTACCAGTCTTGTGCTTCTGGCCGGATACGATGCATGTTTACCAGTCTTGTGCTTCTGGCCGGATACGATGCATGTTTACCAGTCTTGTGCTTCTGGCCGGATACGATGCATGTTTACCAGTCTTGTGCTTCTGGCCGGATACGATGCATGTTTACCAGTCTTGTGCTTCTGGCCGGATACGATGCATGTTTACCAGTCTTGTGCTTCTGGCCGGATACGATGCATGTTTACCAGTCTTGTGCTTCTGGCCGGATACGATGCATGTTTACCAGTCTTGTGCTTCTGGCCGTATACGATGCATGTTTACCAGTCTTGTGCTTCTGGCCGGATACGATGCATGTTTACCAGTCTTGTGCTTCTGGCCGTATACGATGCATGTTTACCAGTCTTGTGCTTCTGGCCGGATACGATGCATGTTTACCAGTCTTGTGCTTCTGGCCGGATACGATGCATGTTTACCAGTCTTGTGCTTCTGGCCGGATACGATGCATGTTTACTTGTTTTCCATTCTTGTGGTTCTGGTAAGATAAGATTCACACTGTGACTGTCACTACCAGTGAGTGAATCAGTTAAGATTAACAGGTATCTATGACAGGTATCTGGTGCAGGCAGTTCAACTACCATAACTGAGTGGTCACACTCACGGCTCTCAAAGATGTTCGGGGCTTAAGTACTCATATTTGAGCACATTACACAACTTTACAATTTGGTTACATTGTAAGATGTGCAGAACAACCACTGTGAAAAATAGTGAAAATCGTGAAAATTCGTGAATAAGTAGCTTGGTATTTTTTCGTGGTTGTTCTACAAAAAGTCAGAGACTTGTTTACACTGGAGGTTCAGTCTCCAGAAGGCTGAAGGTGGATGGTAAGAAGGATGGAAGGAGTGGTGGGAGGGAGGGGTGGATGGAGAAATGTTAAATTTGATTTTTTCCTACAGCGTTTTAACACTAAATCGAAGGGACGGATGTCACAGAGTCAACACATGCACACACTAGCCATGAACTTTCGGTACTCTCTCATAGAGCTGCTCTACAAGCTCACTAACTCTCAGCCTCACTTCCTGAGATGCATCCGCTCCAACATGGACAACTCCGGCTCTATCTTCGACCGTGACATGATAAAACACCAAATCAAATACCATGCTATATGTGACACTATCAGGATTCGACAGCAAGGATTCTCTTACAGGATTCCTTACCAGGAATTCCTTCGAAGGTTCGTGGATATGCTTCTTGACCTTTAAGTTTAATAAAGTGTTCCAAGGGGTGGTGAAGGGGGGTTGAATTCAAATAATTGGGGATGAAACCCATTTCCTATAGATCACATCTGATAGTCTACCATTCCCTAGACACTGCATAAAGATATCTGTACTGATGTCCCTTAAAATTTGTAGTATTATATTAGTATCTAGGGAATGGGAGGTGGTTAGGGTTTATCCGGGGAAAGGGGAGGATACCTCCATTTTTCCTGAATGAGGCGCCCTTCACCATCAGGGTTCTTCTTGCAGGGTGTCCACCGAGGTGTGTTCCAATACAATCCCTTCAGATTCGTTAACTTCTGACCTCTATATTGCATTGTTTTAACTCGTTAAACTAGTATTTCATGATTGAATCTAATGGGTTTGAGTGAAAGTAATAAATAACTTTGGCGTTTTAGTAGAGGACGACCAAAGAGATTTGCCACTATAGCGTATAAAAACAATTCATTTCGAATATTGTTATATCTGACTGTCCTTTGTTGACAAAAATAGGCGGTGCTTGTGTAGTGTGCTGCTGCCTTGTAGGAAAATGCACAAGTTACAAAGCAGGCTTTAATTGGGACAACATTTCGCCCCGTGTAAAGCTCTACATTGAACGAAATGCTGTCACAAAAATAGTTCTGCAATTTGTGTGTGTCTTCGTGAAGTACTGATGGTTTTATCATGATGGGCAGATACCAGTTCCTAGCGTTTGAGTTCCACGAACCTGTAGATGTGACGAAGGACAACGCTCGATTACTTCTCCTGCGACTCAGGATGGAGGGCTGGGCCATCGGCAAGGACAAGGTCTTCCTCAAGTATTACAATGAGGAATTTCTTTCCAGGTACTCCATTTCCTTTCCTCAGAGGAATTTAGTATGTTTCGTTGTATTTTTTATATTTATATGTAGTATGAAAAGGAACCTGGCAAAAAGCAGTTGTAAGCTTAAGACCGAGAGGTGAGGAGGCAGCCAAGGTCAGGTAAGGAGAGGTAAAGATACAGAAAAGGTCAGTCAACCAGTGATGGAGGGAGATGACGACCACTGATGGAGGGAGATGACGACCACTGATGGAGGGAGATGACGACCACTGATGGAGGGAGATGACGACCACTGATGGAGGGAGATGACGACCACTGATGGAGGGAGATGACGACCACTGATGGAGGGAGATGACGACCACTGATGGAGGGAGATGACGACCACTGATGGAGATGAGTAAGACAATTATGCAGTAGTTAGGTATATTTCTGGAATGTTTCGCCTACTTGGCAGTCTTCGTCAGTCGAATGCAGAGGTGACTAAATATGGAGACAGCAAATACAGTGGACAGGTGAAGTCCCATGTTTTTTTAGTTTATACCGTTTGACTAGTTGCTAGTTTCCTCCGAGATTCAATGAAAAAGTTTACCAGTTTCCTGTGAGGATCACAGGATCCTGGCGTGAATCAATCCTGCATCCACAGTCAGTACCGAGTGAGCAATGATCTACTAATTAAACATGCTAATCATAAAGCCAACCAGTCACTCAGAGAACAAGCCAGTCAAGAAAGCCAATCAGCCAGCTAGAAAGCTAGCTAGTTCCCAACCCAGAGCCCCACACCTAGTTTTTTAGAACAATAACAATAACTTTCACATTCTAAGATATTTTTAATCTTTCCCAGACTGTATGAGTCGAGTGTGAAGAAATTATCAAGATTCAAGCTGTGATGCGATCTTACATGCTCAGGAAGAATAAGAATAAGTCAGAGATCACCAAGCCTCAAGACAGTAAGTATCTCCTCTCTTTCTTGGGTTATTTTAAGTTTTTAACCCACACGAGGTTCAGAAAGAATGTAAGTCACCCATACAATGCCAAACAAGGATACTTTTATCTCTAAAATAGGGATTAAAGTGGGGTTGGTGTATATACACATACAAACTTCTAAGTGTGTATAACCTTGTGTATACCTTTGATATTGTCTATAAGGTCTCTTCATACTTCAAAGAATTAAAAGCTATCCATTATGAATTTGAGAATTGTGCAAGAATTATTTGACCGATTATTATTATTTACTATTAGTATCTTTATTATTATTTGTTAGTATCATTATTATTATTTCCAATATTGACTTATCATGGTTAGAAAGCCATGTTGCCGCAGACTTTAATACGGGCGTGGTTGCCATTTTGAAAAACTGCCATTATAGGTACAGAGCGGGTCTAATCTTCTTACAAGATGATCTGTGAAATGCATATATAAAAATGTTCGGTGTTTTTATTGTAAAAGGAGAGATCATTTTGAGAATATCCATTTTGAGAATATTGTGGCTAGCTGGTCCAGTGGCTAACGCGACGGTCTGGAGTTTTGAGACTCTCTGACAGCGGGTTCAATCCCGCCCGTGGTATGGTTTGTTTGCAATCGAGAATATCCATATTGTCAGACTAAGCATCTGTTGTTGACATCTTCTTGAAATCCCCAGACTCCAAAGGCGTCAAGGTTCACGAGAAGAACCTGGAGATCATCAACAGAATAAAGGAGCGCCAGAGATTTGGTGAAGGTTAGTGTGTAGGGTTGGAAAAGTTGATGTCCTGGGGGTGGTAAGGGTGGTAGTGTGTTGGTGATGGTAGTGTGGTGGTGGTGATGGTAGTGTGATGGTGGTGTTCTTGATGGTGATAATAATGGTGGAGGTGGTGTCTGTCATTATTATTGATAGAAGTGTTGTGTACCTCACCACACCTGTAGTGTGTACCTCACCATCCCTGTAGTGTGTACCCAGCAACACCCAGTACAGAAGTACTGTGAAAGCTACAATTAGTACATGGTTACCATTCACCAGTACAGTGTGGTGGAGGCCACGACAGTGATGCTCTCATCTCCTGCTCACCAGATACGATAGAGGCGGAGGCTGCTCGCTACGTCCAGTTCTACTTCAGGAAGTGGAAGATGAGGACTCTCTTCCAGCAGCTGCAGGTCTACCGTGCCGACAAACAGCAGAAACTTGTCTACTTCTCCCAGCAGGTGAGAGGGATGGCCATTACCACAAAGTCACTGCTAAGTTGTCTACTAAAGAAAACATACACATTGTGGAACAAGTTTTTATGTGGCCAAAGTACCACTTTATGTTAAACTTTATTAAGTTATACAGAAGCTGGAAAAAAAATGTACACACAAGAGCACTCTCTCTCTCTCTAGACATTACAGTTCTTTTGGGATAGTTTGTAAAGAAGCGTCAGAGGCTAGTGAAGGAATTTGGGGAGTACATGAAAGAAGGAAATTAAGTCAACATAGGAAAGAGGCAGATGTTGATAATAAAGAGCATAGGTAATGAAAGTCTGGATACCGGGGTGGAGGAAGTAAACATATTCAGATATATGGGAGTGGACATATCAAATGGGCCTATGAAAGGCAAGGTGAATCACAGAATAGTCGTGGGGATAACGTACATTGAGGCACCTTAGTAGCAGAGCAGCCAGCAGCAGAGAGAAGCGAATTAGTATAGTAGTACTATATAGTCTACTACATACACACAGTACAAATTACAAGTACTACTACTACTACACTATATATACACACCTACTACTACTACACTACACTATACTACTCAACTGTGTTGAAAACGTTGGAAACTACCTATACGATCTGTACATTGTTTTGAGTAAGCTAAACTGCTCAATTTGTTCATTTTTTTCTGTTTTAAATTTTAACTACTATGAACTTTAAAGGAAACTTATGCATATTTTTCTGTCGTACCGACGATTGTCAAGCCCACAAAAATACCATCATGGTTCTTTCCAAAATTGTGGGTTTTTAGATGAAATTAGGTCCTGTCCCTTTTTTTCAAGAATTCGAAATTTTTCCATGCCATAAAAGTGAATGGTCATTCGGGGTCCTGAATTTGGGCCTAGGAAGTTCCTAGGGAAGCTCCTTAAATTACCTATGAAGCTTTTACGTTCTTTTCCCCAAGAAGTCCTCTTTTGCTGCGGGACATCTATGGGCAGAGACTCAGGCGAGACAGCAGAGAAAAACCCTTGTTGGACCTAGATATGTATCACGAGCTCCGGGGCCCACAAGATTCTCCTGACAAGGGGTGAAGGTGGCTCCCCCAAGGGGCTCCGACCAACCCAATCTTACTTTAACCACCTTCCTAGGGCGACCCAGCGGGGCTAGGTTAGATACGTCCTTCTGTGACCCCAAAGCAGAGGAGTATATGCAGGTTCTGCGACCCCAGGAGAACAGGTTTGTATACAAATGCTCTGCCCCATTTGGGATATACCCCAGCCTTAAGCCGCCTGCGCACATACACAGAACCATTTCCTTCCTTTGTTCAATTTTACTAATAAATTTTTTTTCATTAGTTTTTTCAAGATTTCATCCATTTACTCAAGAAAAAATTACTGAAACCTATAAAAAACTTTTTTAACCCCCAGAAAAAATTTAATTTTTATGCCGTTTTTAAGAAAAAAACCCAAAAAAAATTTCATTTTATGTCTCGGAAAAAGGGGGACAACGGGGAGATGGGAAGCTCCCTTCAGACCCTGACTCCTCCCCCCCAGGTCACTGATGCTGATGAAGAAGGGAAGTGCTCAGTCACTGCCACGGACGTCAGCTCCAAAGCTGCTATCTTTGAGCAAGGTCAGACACCCTGATCTTATTTAGAAGTGATAGGAAGTGCTCAGACTGATCAGTTATTTCAGGTTGGACTCTTAAGTGGAGTGTAATAGTGCCAAATAGGATAATGTACCTACTTACCTCCAGGCAAGTAGGTAGGTACATGGGTAAAGATGGGTAGGATAGGTAATGCCAGAAATGATAGATCACTTGACAGACATGGTCAATAAAAATATACCAAGTCGTATAGTGTAAATGTGCTGACGACATTGTACACACATACACGCACGCACAAGCACAGCTTAGGCAGATGATAAACCTTGAAGAATTTACAACATATAAAAAACACAGCATTTGCCAGCCGACAGTAGTGTATCAGAAAGATTAAAACCCAAGTGTTAACAGGTACTTGGTACTCGCATGAAGTACATAATAATGTACACTAGTACATCATAAATCTCAGATTCAGCTTCATTAATGAGAATAAATTATAATTATTATTTATTCCAAGGTTTCCTAAGTCAGTTTCTTAATGCTTCATGTAAACTAAATAATTATCTTCATATATGTATATTTAACTGCAAATAAGCAAATTATTCTGCCTTTTTTCAATAAGTTTGGACACGGGGTGTTGCACGTGTCCAATTCATCAACGTGTCAGTCTTTTATAACAATTTCATCCCAGGTCTCAAGACCAGTGAGAGCAAGAAGACCCCCACCACCCCCACCACAACCTCGTCGTACAACAGGTTTGCAGGCAGCAACAGTTACAGACCGCCACCCAACTTCAGCAACTTCACCAAACCAATCCAGGTTAACCAATACAGCAGCAGTTACATCAAGACGCCAGCATCCAGGCCCTCTGTTGTTGTCAACACATGGAATGAGCGTCAGCATAATGGTTACACGTAAGTTACCTGTAATTGGTGATGACTGTGAGAGGTACACCCCTTTATTATTGGTTACAGTCTTCATTTATGGTTACAAGTGGGCCAACTGTGTATGGATGCAGTTAAGAGGTGCATGAAGTTTCCCTGTCTCCTAATATCGTTTATTTTTCCCGTATAATCTACATTGTCTATAATTACCATTGCATTTGCTTTGTCTGCTTTCGTAAGGTGCAGACAAAGTAAATACGGCAGTAATTGTGGACAAGGTAGATTATAGGTGAAAAATATGTTTTTAGAAGACAGGGGAACTGACGTGCCTCTTAAGCAGTCTGTACACTATATATTAATGGTACAGATTGCATTGGGCCGTTTATAAGAATGAGTGGAAGTGTGATGGTGGGTAAAGGGATTAGAAAAATATAGGAGAAATGATGGTGTAAGAATAATTAGCGACATGAATCTTAATAATTGGTACCAACAAGTGGTTTAAAAGTACACGTGAGCAAACACTAGGACATATATGAGAAAATGGTCAAGGTTTCAGAACTGAAATGTTTTGTGATAAAAATGAGTTAGTGTTTGCGTACGTGTCTCAAGTCAGTAAGCCGAGTGTTGGAGTTATGGAGTAATTTTGTTGGTGTGTTGGAGTAATGTTGATGTGTCTACAGAAACACTGTGGATCAGGACGACCAAGGCTTGCACGACTTCAGAAAGATGCTTCGTAAAACCAACCGCTCTGTCATCCTGGAGCTGGAGGCTCGGGTAGCGGCAGCTGGAGGCGCTACTGATGGCATTATTAACTTTAAGGTCAGTCTTGAGTGGAATTTATCCAAATCGTAGGTTAGTTATGAGCTGTTTAGTCAGTGTTTTGATAGCTTATTTTGTATTCCCCTCTTGATATCTTATATTTTATTAACTTATGGGTTAAGCGCTTCCTCGTGAATATAATCATTAAAATATTCTTATATTTGGTAGAAATTTCAATGCATTTTTCCATTAAGATGCAATTCAGAGAGATTTAAAAGAAAGTTATTATTTTTGTGATGTTTTCTGAAATTAAACTGACGTTATGTGCCACTTGACCTGACCTGACCCGACCCCGGGTGTAGTGGAGTGGATGTATTTGAAGCTTATGTGACAGTATGTCACAGGTAACTGACAATGGTTCAGGATGGAACAGAACCTCATCTTGGGTTTCTTATCCAAATTTTAATGTGAACATGAACAGAAACACTATTGGCATTAATAGTGAGTACAGCAACAAATCTGGCCACTAATGTGCTACTCAACTACTCTCCTTACTTCTACCATTTCTTCCACTACTACTACTTCCACTACCAGCCTTACCACTATAATTACTACTTTTTCTTCCTCTCTTGGTCCTGTCCTTGTCCCTCTCGCCTATATATATACTGGCTCCCTCACTCTTTTCTGTCAGTGTGACTTTGTAAATGGTCCAAGTCGGACCAAAACATCGTCGTAAGCTCCTCTCTCCTATGTGCAGGTTATTTGTGTATATATTATATTCTTGGGAACTTACAGGAAAAGAAGCAGGAAGTTACTGGAGGAGATGACGACCAAGCCAGCCCGGACGACGAGGCTAGTCAAGAGTACCCTGAGGTGGGTTAAGTTAGTAACCATGATGTATATTGCAAAAAATAAAGTATATACACCGAAAAGTGTATATATGATGAGAGTTCACAACCCTATTATGAAGGGACTAATGTATTGTTGTTTGGTGTTCGTTAGAACACGAGAAAAAAAGAGCACTGCAGCAGGCCTACTGGCCCATGCTAGGTAGGTCTAAGTCACATCCACTTAAGGAGCACTGCATCAAACCTATTAGCAGAAGGTAGACAGGTCCAACTCACACCCACACATGTATTTAACCTATTTTTAAAACTACACAATGTCTTAGCTTCCATGACGGTACTCGGGAGTTTATTTCACTCATCCACAACTCTATTACCAAACCAGTTCTTTCCTATATTCTTTCTAAATCTAGTTCAAGTGGTATACAGTCTTCATCATCCTCATATACTCTATAAACTTTAAATGTAATAAACCAAATATGTGACTGTAATCTTATGAAACCTCGAGTTTCTCACGCTGTGCGAGTGATCTTATTTAAAGCTTTGAGAATGTCAGAATGTTGTGAGATTGTAATCTTGTGGAAGCTTCCAGTGTGGGATTCTATAGAAGTCTTGAGAACTTCAGATTTCTTAGTGAATATAATCTTTTGTAAGCTTCCAGCAAAGTAATGAATATTTCTGCATAATAATGTGTTTACAGATATCACCTCTGGAGGAGATGTTGGAGCGCATCAAGGAAGTGGTACCAGAAGCCAAGGAGGATGTTACTCAGGATACACAAGCCACTAAGGATACACAGGTAGGAAGACGTCACTCAGGTGTATACTAGGAGACACTACCAGGTGTACTGCCTTACAAGGCTCACAAAATTCCTTTGTACCATCATGAAAATATTAGTGTCTATGGAAGAACAAAGGAGACAGCTGCCTCATCCCCAGACCTCTAAATCAAAACTCATTTCCCTATGGATATAAGTTAGACATTATTATCTACATTGTTTATTTGCAGTGTTGCAGCCATGGGGTGAGGAGGGAAGGGGAAAAAGTCCTCCACATGTAAATAGCATAATTTTTTTCAATGGCTGATTTTAAACATATTGACCAGTGGTTAAAAAGCCACAATAATGTAAGAAATGTTTACATATATACTGAAAACATGTTTTGTAAACTATATCTTTGATTTTTTTTCAACTTGTGCAATTTAAACCCCCGAGATTGAAATTCTGGCTTAAACTTTCCAGATTTAAATATTGACTGTACCATTGTTTATTTCTTTTTGAAAAAAATGTTTAAACACGACCTTTATAATTACAGGAAACAGCAGACAAGGAGGAGAAACCAGAGACCTTTTATCCCAATGGTGACGACAGGTCCTCGACCCCAACCTTCACTGAAGAGACCGAGGAGGCTATGCTGTAGAGGAGACAGAAAGACCATAATGCATGGTGACCTCGTGTCTTGTTCTTATTAAACCAACACCCAACGACAAGTTACTCTATGATCCAGCCCAGGAGACTATATGGTAACACGAATAACTGAAGCAGAAGACTATTTTGTAATAAGAGTGACGGGTGACCAAAGTCTACTAGGAGACCACCTCCTATCAAGATCATAGACCAAATACCACATTCCACTAAGGACAGAACTGGAGCATTTCTTAAGAAGAGCCGAAATACCAAGTACCACTTACTAATGAGTTTAGAACAAGGAAGCCAGGCTATCTAGACAAAATAAACAAGTAATAGAGACAAAGGAGCTTTGTGGAGTGGCATTATCATAACCAGTGAGGTTTATCAGAGGTGCAATTATTGATATTTGAAAAAAAAAATAACGCTAGGATAACAAGTTTATTCCTCAGCGAATATACACCAAGATGTATACATTTTTAGTGAATATACACCAGGTGTATTTTTTTAAAATTAAATACTCCAAGAAAGGTTATTCAGTAAATATACTGTAGGTGTGTTTCTCGTGTATATACACGATGTGTATATTTGAATACATGCTGAAAGGTGTGTATTTCTGTGTATGTATTGCTTAGCATATATACACTAAACAGGTTTCTCAGTGCATATATATTGAGACTTGAACTGAATTCCTGTTTCAGGGTTTAAAATATTCTTAACTGATGTGTATTAAGTGTAGACTTAATGATCCTCGTGTAGTAGATAGGCTTTAAACCTAACAAATGTTATAAAGATAACTTTAGCAGATTATAAAATAGGAAATATAGTGGAAATAGGGTATTCTCCACACCTAACCTCTCCATTACAACCTATTTTTTAGATGAAGTTTAAGTAGGAAGGGAAGAGGATGGGTAAAACTAGCAATTTGGGTAACAAGTCAGAATCGTTTAAATTTTTTTATTGAAGTTAAGGGCATGAGGATTGTATCCTAGATATTTCATAAAAATTGTCTAAAAAAAATTCTCCTTAAGGCAATACTTACTACACTTTGATGCAAACTTACGACTACTGAAAGTGTTTGTGGTGAGTACGGGATCTAGTGGAGCTGGTTTTATTGGGAACGCAAAAGTTATAAAGTGCTATTATATTTTTTAGGACAGACTTTCTTCAGAATTTTTTGGGGAGGATAATATAGTATTAATTTTGTACACTTGCCTAAAGCACTTCTAGTATAACTGGAGATACCTGAAGAGGGTTTCAGGGGGCAACGCCCCTGCTGCCCAGTCTGTGACCAGTATGACTAATTTTTGTTTAAATGTGTCGGAAGAAGCAAAATAAACAACTTAATTTCTTTGTGTAGTATATAAAGTAGTGTTCTGGGGGTCAATACCCCCGTGACCCGGTCTATTTTTTCATGACAATAATAGGATATGATAAAATCAGGGAATGGGAGGCATTTGAACCAATGGCCAGCGAGTCCTAAAACTCAAGCCAGTGCGTTAACCACTGGACCAGGTGGCTCTAGTAAGGTTCACCCAACTAGGTATATTTCTATACACCATGGGAAAGTTAGCATGAGCCACCACTGTGACCACAAATGCATTTTTTTTTTTTTGCAAATGATTCCCACACTAGCATGGCTGGGGCGTACACTAGCTCAAACGTTATTACAATTTCGAGTCGGGATTCTATCCTCATGCCATATTGATCTTTTCAATACAAAGAAATCAAACTATTCGGACTTACTAAGTTGCTGGATTCACCCGACATCATACTTGTCAGTCATCACGCCGTTTGATCCATGTCTCGAATCAGAGACATGGAGTTAAAATTTGGCTCCAGGTTGGCTCCACACAGTTGCTGTCTACCAGGCTGTCAGCATCTCTCACCCTTCAGTCATGTCTAGTGTCTTATAGCCACATATTTTAGACTTCATGTTGACATGCTCCTATTCCAGCCTCATCTCTCTAGTTATTATCATTGTAATATACATGTTACAGCATTTTAAGAATGTATAAAATATTAGATTGAAAATACAAATATAATTGTAACCATTGTATTAACACTAACGTGCATTATACTCTCAGCATCATTATATCTGTTATAGGTTAGAATTATTTGCTTTAGTATATAATATATATTAATGTTAAAGGTGTTTTATTAAACCGAAATAAACCATCTTTTTAACAAAGATTTTATATGGAGAATTATTATTATTATCAAGAAAGCGATAAACCCAGCAGGGTCAGAGCTGTTGAGATAGAAAACAATAGAAAAAAATTACCTTGGGATAAGGTTTCGTTCTATAAAGCCGATTACTATTAATATAATCAAAACTAAGTGCCAAACCCACAAGAGTGTAAAGCTGAGATCATTTATTCCTGGGACGACTCGAGCCTGGAACGTTGGTACAACATAATGACATCAACGAGAAATTTAGTAAATGAAAATGCTGGCCCACAGATGGCTCTAACTTCATTCTGTTCCCTATTTGTGTGTCTCATAACATTAAAAAGGCTTTTAAATGAGCTGATGTTGGTAACAGTTCTTAGCTTGTAAATAAAGTTAGGAACCTCAACTTAATCTTGTAAAAACCATATATATATATATATATATATATATATATATATATATATATATATATAAAGAAACCCTCTAACGACACGTTGTTCCAGTGATAATTGGATTATTAACCTGCGCTTTCCCTCGGTGTTGGAATCATGACTCACGAAATCGTAATGACACGATTGCAAGCAAATCATACCACGAGCCAGCTGGCAGAGTGGCTAGCGCGTCGGTCTGGAGTTTCATGGCTCTGACCGCGGGTTTTATTCCCACCCGCGGTATGGTTTGTTGTTCTAAGTACATCATTTGAATCGATAACAATAAATACTTAAAATAATCAGCGTCGTGTTGGATTCTCAGCTACCAGTGTTATTCGGCCTGGATCCCTGATGGTTTCCTGGAAAGAATATTCTTTCCAGACGCTCTAAAAATCCTGTTCCCTTTAATGTAAATGGGACGCTTCTGTGCAGCATTTTAGAATCTCTATTGAGGAAACGTTTCACCAGCCAGTGGCTTCTTCAGTCCAATACAGTGAGGAACGGTGGGAAATGAGGTAATCAGTCCTTCAGCCTGGAGTCTGCAGTCTGTCCAAGAATGATGGACTGGACACATCGACTCCAGGCTGAGTGACTGATTACCTCATTATCATTTTCCACTGTTCTTCACTGTACTGGACTGAAGAAGTCACTGGTTGGAGAAATGTTTCCTCAATGGTTCCCAGTTGCTCCACACAAGTGTCCCATTCATCCTATATTTCTGTTATTTTCTCTTGAACGCCTGGCATATAGAAGTTAGTGACCAGCCAGTAGATCAGTGCCTCATGTCTGTCCAGTTTTATATATGGGGACATTTACATTATTCCCGGTTTACTGGCACTTGTCCTGATTAGAGAGACTGGTTGTATACCTCTGCTTTTAGGTCACACACACACTGCCTCTGCTGCTCTCAACACTCATAATCTGAAGTTTGGTTCCACTACTTTTGCTGCATTAAGCTCGCTTAGTTATTTCGTCACTTGTGTTGATGCTTTCTGGCCCCTGTTAATCTGGTCTAGCAACAGGGATCTTCTGGTAACTCCTCACTGACGTCTACAAAAATCTCTAAATCTTTTTTTTGCTAAGTTTCCATAGTTCTGGTCATTCTCCGTCAGGGTCCCATCCTCACTTAACCTTCACAATTCTCTTATATGGCTGTGGATCAATTTCGTGTGCTTTGGCCTTTGATGCTATATATCTTTTTCGTATTGTCTCTCAACTTCCCCTTTTACTCTTGCAAATTCTTGTCTGGTTCTGCAGCTTAATTCCAGGTTTTCGGTGGTTAGATTTACATTATATTTCATCCAAGCCTTTTCGTGCTCCTTCTCTTCGACTGTCTGCATTCCTGACTGAATAATGGGCTTCATTTTTTAAATACTTGATACAGATCTTCCCTTTGCCTCACTTCCGCTCTTTCTTGTGCAGTTGTGAACTTCAGTATCATTTCTCATTGCACTTCTTTCAAAATTTCTCATGCTATTATATTCCCCCTTTATTGTAGTTCTGTTATTTTTTTCCACGTCTTTCTCTAGTCCCATTGTTATCAGGTGCTCAAAACTTGGTACATTATCTCTGGCAACTAATGGACCTCCATTGATAGTTTGTCTCAATTATTTTGTGTAAAAACAGGATGAAGTTTGCTGGCTTATCTCCGCCTCTCACTCTCGTTGTTTCCTTCACATACTCAGATTTTTCATTACACCTCCCAAGAGTTTGGTTATGTTTCTGAGCTTCCATGAAGTCCTGGTTTACCATTGCTCCTTGTTCTCTTGGTCACAGTCTCCACTACGCCAATTGCTGTCTTTCTTTGATTGTACTCCTTCCTTGGCTCTATTGTTTATTAGTGGATTATGTCACTGCCGCTAATAGTTTTGCCACTCGGGACATGACAGTACCTGCTGCATGATCCCTGACATCCCTATTCCAAGTTTCTTATAAGTGTGTAGAGATAGGAAGGAAAAGGAGGGACTTTGTCGACATCAGACTTTTCACAATCCCAGCTCACGTTGTAAACTGACTTGACATTGATAAATGAATGGTACTAGCTTGTGTTTGAGTGGGTGGGAGCTCGACACTGTGATGGATAGGTGTGGCTGGGATGAGATTGAGTTTGGGCAATGGGTTGGCGTGTGTTCCCGGTGCCAGGGTTGACGATGATTGATGGACAGGCAAGATGCTGTAAGGTCTCAGTGCACTCTTCGTTAGATTATTGAGATGTTCCTCCAGCATGTATGTGTAGTGTTCCTTAGTCTCCATCTGGTGGCTCGTCAGTTGCTGCTTGCGTAATCTCAGTTTCTGGGGATATAAAAATAAATATTATTATTATTATTATTATTATTATTATTATTATTATTATTATTATTATTATTATTATTATTATTATTATAATTACTTGAGGTGAGGGCGCGAAACCTTGAGAGAATGGAAGGCATCCAGTCTGTTCAAAGAATTGGAGTACAGATCCAATTTCCTAGATCAAGAGCCCCTCACCAGCATCAAAGAACCTCCCCTGAAAGGTTTAAACGAATGTAACAATTCAAATTAAGAGCCATGATCCGAAGTTGTGATCTGGTGCTGTTCACATGAGTGCAGTGCTCAGACATAAGTAATAAGTGCTACAATTAAGAAATTGTTTGCTCGATACCAGTGCCAGCCATGGATTGTTCTAAACTAGGTCTCGTGGGATCCCAGTACGGTCGTGATAGCAAAAACCGTAATCCTCCCCACAGGGCAGGCAAAGAACCCGTCATCAGAGAGGGGAAGACTGGTGGTTGACGGTCTTTAAGCCCAAATAACCATCTTTCACAGTATTCAAGTAGGGCACCATGACTCTGGTCCGAAGACCTGAGTCACAGAAAACACAACTTCTCACCCCTTGCCTCAAGCCTAATTACCTCTCATTCCTCAGACAATGAATGATTTCCATGGATTTAACGCTTCTCCATTAAATCATAATTCATTCTCACAAATGACTTAGCTTTCCCTAACTCTTCTTACCTTATAATAGCACTCTGATGCCAGGATCACCAAGCCACACAGAAATCCGAAGCCAAGGACTGTAAACGATCCCAGCATGTCAGAGAAGTTCAAAGCCTATGGAAAACATGCGAGTTTGGTAACTGCTAGACGTAAGATGATCTTTTTTGTAGGCAGAGCAAGACTTGCAGGCTTGAATTATTTACATGACTCGAAGACAATTACAATTTTATTCACTCTTCTTCCAGATTTTCGATTACAATTGCTTGATCAAGAAAAAAAATAAGTTGTAATTTCTTTTATGTGAAAAAGGACACTAATATACAGGAAACGTTTCGCCACACTTGACTTATTTAATCCTCAGGACTGAAGAAATCACTCGTGGCGAAACGCACATAAGTGAATTTTTCCACATCTTGTCGGTATTGCCACATTATTTTCCAGTTGCATTTCTCATCAGCCCATCATAGCTAATGAGAAATACAAAGACTCAATTACACTTATTAAATTTATAATCGCATTCATCTGCAATTAAAATTTCATTTACTTCAAACTCGAATGCTCCTGGTTTCCTGTCTATCAATAGTATGTTGGCAATTATACTAGTAACATACTAGCAATTATAGTACTATTGTACTAGCAATTTTATTAGTAATGTACTAACAATTATGTTAGTAAAGTTATTTGAATCTATCTTAAGAAAACATGAGAGGTGTGTCAAAAAAATAGCAAAAAGCAATCTGATACTAGTAGGTATATATGTTAGTAGAAGGTATATATACTAGAAGAAGGTATATTATATGATAGGTATATTATATGTTAGTAGAAGGTATATATACTAGAAGAAGGTATATTATATGCTAGTAGAAGGTATATTATATGCTAGTAGAAGGTATTTGTATGCTAGTAGAAGAGACGTATACCTTGGTGGTTGTTGCTCTGGAGCTTCTCTTAGTACACTCGTTGGGTCTGGGCCAGTATTTCAGCTTCCAGGTCTGGAATAATCCCATCTGCTGCATGAGAACGAACCTGTGAAGAGAGACCATGAGGTTCATGGCGTCTTTATTGTTAATTGTCGATGTTATATTCTTTGTTGCTTTCTTCAGATCGGAAGGTTTTAACATAAAAATTGTAATAATGACTAGATTTTACATGTATTTTCTGTGTTAGATAGATACGGGTGACTTCTTTGGGTGACTCTGCAACGACACTCCAGGTTACAGTGCACAAGATTGGAAATGCAAGAGTGTACTCACTCTCTGTTGAAGAGCTGACCGATAGAGTCGTGCTTGCGGTGGATCCAGCCGAAGCCAGCTGGGAAGAACTCACCAGCCGCCAGCTGGAGGTTGCACCGGCCCGTCCTGCGGTAGTTCTCCTCTATGACGAAGTCCAGGAAGGATCGCTCCTGCACCCCGGCCACACACACACACCCCACACACACACACACACACACACACACCACCACCACACCCACACACACACACACACACACACACCACACACACACACACCCCACACACACACACACACACACACACCACACACACACACCCCACACACACACACACACACACA